CATTTGTACTCCAGTTTGCTTCCGTTTTGATTTAATCAGGAAATCTTGCCTTAGTTTACTACCTATACCAGAGTATAGATCAGTGATATAAATTATGAAGAGCATGTGTCTTAGTGTAGGTCACTGTGGTACGTTACTCATTACGTCACCCCAGTGCGAACACTTAGCCCTGTATCCTCTCTCTTTTGAAAATTAGCTAAAAAATAACCATGTGCTGATACGACATTAGGCATACGGCTGTTGAGCAGCACGTCCGGGGGTAATCAAGAGTGACTGGGTGTGGTTCTCTGTACACTTTAGTTTCCTTTTATCTCGGCAACTGAAATGAAACTACTCTACTGTATATCATTTAACAGAACACACAAGGTGATGTTGAAAAATCTTTAGATATTCACAACGAAAGTTAATCAAAGGTGCCTCTTGCACCTTTGATTATAGACAATATATAATATACTGTATAGACAATATAGTTATAGACAATATTACAACACTGAGCAATAATATGGAAACGGGAAAAGTGTACTGTAGGTAATTCATAGATCAGTAATGGATGATGTTGTATCAACAATTGATTGTAAGAAATGCTATGACTAAATGGGGAACATCAGGTAAACGAGGAGCACATACTTCCTGGTCTTATATTGTCATCTGACAAATCATCTTCTTCTGACTAGTCAGATGGTGACGGTTTATTTCCTGCGGGTGTTTTTGGGGAATGTAGTTGAGACAAGGGTCTCCCATCTTGCCTTTTACTGTCACCTTGCCACAGCAGATTAAAGTCATGGAACGACAACATTTGAAATATTGGGGAAAAAAAATAAAAGGTCTTCTTTTACCTGAGTCCCAACAACAACCTTCTCATGCAAGTCTTTCTCAGTCAAGCTGATTTGTTGCCTACATTCCTGTGACAGATTTAAATAGCTCCCAGACTTCACTACGATACTTGCTTGAAATAACAACATGTATGTATATTAAATTAACACTGATAAAAAACTGTCTGATGCCGATCCATCAATTTCATGTAATTAGAATAAATCAGCTTTTCCCTTTGACAATTTTATTGTTCCTACCAGCAGCTCAGTACTTTGTATTTTCCATGCTGGTAAAAGACATTTCCCATCATTGATTTTTTTTAAAATGAATTACGTTTAATGTATGCAAATAATGGAAAAGTGGCAGTTTAACAGTGTTGCCTTCCATCATAGTAACATTACTAACATACCAGTAAACCTTATGAATTGAAAATAGGCACCATAGGTTGGTAACAGCCTTTGCCTCCAAGGTACAATAGACAGTGTATATACGATCTCCTTTCTTTTTCAAAGTGAATACTCTGTATCCAAAGCTGTAATGTGATCAGTGAAAATATTTTAAAAATGAACATCATTTTAGAATGTTTCAGTATTTGAATAGTGCATTGAAATTTTTTGAATTATTTTCTCATATTTTTCTTCACAAGCTTCATTCATGCTTTTTAATTTTCAAGGAAAACAAATTCAGATGTTCTTTCTGAGTTTAGAATGGAGTACTCTGTGTATTATAATACAGTATGTACAGGAGCTACGTATATTTGGAGAGATGAAACTCATTATTAACAGCCTTAAGATCAGCCTTAAAGGAGAAGTAATGGTTATAAAATATGCTTTCAAATCTGAATTGGTCAACTAGGACTACATTGTGTTTCTTATATTTCTGCTGTAGCACGTGATTATTCACACCCTTAACAGTTGTTAAGAAAAAGAAAGACACCTTCTCAAATCCAATTTGCATGTTTTATTACCTTGCTTTTGTTGTTTTTCAGTATGTTCCCTTGCTAATTATGTACATTTATACAGAACTGTCATATTGTATTTAATGTATTACCATCTTCTGCCATTTTTACCAGTAAACTAATAATTTCCACTATTGAGATTCATTAGAGCTTTGTTGTATTTTGATTATATTACCTAGTACTTCAGCCAGGTTGAATGTACAATTTAATTTATTTAAGGAATTTAATTATTTTGCAGAAGTTTCTTCTAGATTTACTAAGATACATTAAATCTATGTGCTTTACCATTCTTGTATATACTTTAAAATGTAGATCCCTAAAAATTAAATTGTCAATAACATTACATTTAATTATTTACTTAAAAATGCTCACAACGAGCAAACTAGAAACACAGAGGGGAAGGTTTTTTGTTCTGTGATGAGCTGTGAATTCTGATCAGTAAAGATTTTGCTTATACTGGTCACATACTTGGGGAGTTATGTGAAACCTTACTTACCTCTTTAGGGCTTTTCCTGCATGATTGCACATTGGTACTGCATGATTGGACATTGATGCACACTCCACCTGTTGAAGAGGTCTTAAAACAGTTGTTCTTCGTGCCATGTTTTCCCTTCCATGTACACATTGTAGAACTACTGGTGACGAATTATCATAAGGTGCTTTACGTTGTTTCCATATCTATTATTACTAGAACGAGGCATACTAGTGGTTCTTAATAAAACAGCCTAAGTAAATAGTAACAGGGTAGAATAAGACCACTTAAAACATTAGATGTTTGGGTTACAGTTATATTATCAGTCTAAGTGCTTAATGAACAACAGAATGCATTATGGAAATTATACTCTGATGGATTTTTCACCTGCTGAGGCTTTTTACACTAGGATGCACTGGGTTATTTTATGATGCTTGTTTTCCTGGACTCCCAAATTTCCACACACAGGTTTATTTGAAAATAGTTGAATACATGATTTTTTAGCTGAGTGTTTTAGTCTAAATTGTACTTAAGTTGTTTGCAGTTTATAGACTGCGCTTTATCTGGGCTTTATGATTGTTAAAATGTGAAAATAGTAAGCTGATTGTTTAAGTTATGATGTAAAAATGACAACACATTATAAGATATATTTGTAATTTTTATAGATATAGGTTGATACATTTATTTTTGAAAAGCCATGTATTGATGCACAACTAAAAATACACCTGCATCACATGTGACATCTAATAAAAATATATATAAAAAATTAATTTTAGCCTAATTGAAGTTCTGTACTTCCCCTTAGGTTAATTCGTACCACAAGTTTTAATGAGATTTTTAATTAGTATGTTAATTGCATAATGCAAGGAGTGAGATGATCACTTTTGAAAGAACCACATACGATTTGACAATCAGGAGGAGCATTTACAGTGCAGTGATAAAGTATTTGCCTCATTTCCTCTATTACTGCATATTTGTCACACAGGATGTTTTCAGAATTTTAGACAAAATCTAGTATTAGATAAAGGGAACTTGAGTGAACAAATAAATGAAATAATAATAATAAAGTTATTATTATTTCATTTATTTAATAAACAAAGTTATCCAACACCCATATCCCCTGTGTGAAAAAGTAATTACACTTAATAACTGGTTGTGCCAGCTTTAGCTGCAATGACCGCAACCAAATGCTTCCTATAATTCATAATCAGCTTCAGCTCACAGATGGATGACGGGACATCCTCCTTAAGAATTTTCTGATACAGAGCAGAATTCATAGTTCCTTTAATTATGGCAAGTCGCCCAGGTCCTGAAGCAGCAACGCATCCCCACACCATCACACTACCACCTCCATGTTTGACGGTTGGTACAGTATTAGGTTCTTACTGTGGAATGCTGTGTTTGCTTTACACCAGACATAATGGGACCCATATTGTTCACAAGGTTCCACTTTTGACTCATCTGTCCATAGAACATTCTCCCAAAAGTCCTGAGGATCATCCAGGTGCTACTTGGGAAATGAGAGATGAGCATTTATGTTCTTCTTGGTTAGCAGTAGTTTCCACCGTGCTACTAATTTCTCATGAAGCCCATTTTTGCCCAGGCTCTTTCTGATTGTGGAGTCATGAACTCTAACATTAGCTGAGGAAAGAGAAGCCTGCAGTTCTTTGGATGTTTTTTAAGGATCCTTTGTGACTTCCTGGATGATTTTACGCTGCGCCCTTGGAGAAATTGTGGCAGGCGGACCACTCCTGGGAAGATTCACTACTGTTCCAGGTGTTCTCCATTTGGAGATTATGGCTCTTACTGTGGTTCGGTGGAGTCCCAGAGCCTTAGAAATTGTTTTGTAACCCTTTCCAGACTGATAGATATCAACAACGTTTTTTTCTGATCACTTCAGGAATTTCCTTTGATCGTGGCATTATGTGCTTGTTGAATCTTTGTGCTGGCAACTTGACTCTGATGGTAAGGGTCAAAATAAGTGAGATTTATGTTGAGCAGGGCTGGCTGTAATCAAGCCTCTAAATTATCCCTTTTACTGGGTTTATTTAACTAGGGCAATTTCTTTTTCACACAGTGCCATTTGGTGTTGGATAACTTTGTTCATTAAATAAATGAAATAAGCAAAAACAAAAATGTGTTATTTGTTCACTCAGGTTCTCTTTATCTAATATTAGATTTTGGTTGAAGACCTGAAAACATCCAGTGTCAACAATTTGCAGTAATAGAGAAAATACTTTTTCACGGCACCGTAGATTGCATACAAACAAGAGTTCACTTTTTCCTATTTTTATTTACAATCTTGAAAGTATTTTGTTATTTAGATATGTAATTTTGCTGGATTGTGGTTGAGAATTGTTTTGTTCATCATTACTTTTTTCTCATAAGAACACTCTAAACACCACAAGGGATTTGAGAATACAGAATTGTAATTAAACATGTAAATACTTTAAAGAAAAAATTGGTGACTGTCCTTGTTTTACTGTAAGCAAAGGTATAAAACATTGCTTTGAGTAACAGACAGCCATATATGGGGTTGTTATTATAAATGCATTGTTTTTTGCAAAAATTATTTTTCAGGCATTGCCAAATTTGACCCCTTAAAAGCTACTTCACCATCCCCCCCCAAAATGACATTTTTAGAAGCAAATTTTATAAAACATAAATATGTAAATTATATGAAAGGTAGATATGTTATAACTGTCAGTACTAAACACTTTATTCTTTTCTTTTCCATTTTTAATTCTTGTGTTGTAGTCAGATGTATTGTATAGAAAATGCTCATGGCCAACTGGTGAGAGACTTGGACTTCAATCCGAATAAGCAGTACTATCTGGCCAGCTGTGGTGATGACTGCAAGGTCAAGTTCTGGGACGTCAGGAACATCAGTGAGCCTGTCAAGAGCCTGGAAGAGCACTCCCACTGGTAGGAGAGGATGCTTGATCTGTGTTACCTGTCTGCATCACGCAGAGCCCTGTGGGAGTCACACAACTGCAGTCTTGCTTTGGAAGATCAGTGGGCAGTGTTCTTGCCTCTGGGCCAAAAGATCACAGATACAGAGCCCTTTTTTGGTGTGGATATTTATAATGCACACCAGGTACCAGCAGCGAAGCCTTAAGCATCTAGCATCTATGTGACTCTGTGTGCTGCAGTGCTTGCAAATCAATTCATACGCTGATGCATAAAATAAATGGCAGCACTCAGGTTTAATGTATTTATTTATTTTTAATGTAGATGTCTGCAGAATCAGAGAAAATGTGAATAAATATACATATGTGACACTGCTAAAATTTAAACATGTAATGTTATTACAAAAATAGTTTAGGATACAAGTCTTAGATTAGCACAATCCCTGTACTGTTTTAAATAGACATAACCAACCAGAATTAGAATATCTCATTCTATAGCCAACTTTTCTAACAAACAAGTCACCTTCAGTGTTGTCGATAATTACCAGGCTATTTTAATTACTTAAGCAAGTCTTGTGTTAATTGAAGTAATCTTTTTTATAAATGTCACTTTATACATAAAATAAACTCATTTGGCAACATATACTGTATACCAAACATGGAGCAACTCATCCTATTTTTATGAAGTTACATATCTTTAGCTCAGTATTTTGTTACTCCAAGCAGTAATACTTGTCAGTCAACAGAGCTACCTGCTAATCATTTAAAAGGAAGATCACATTATATAAATACCAAGTGACATCAGTATTCCCACTATCTAGTTTGATCTTGTCACGTTTTACTAGCTTAGGCCTTTTGAATTTAAAAGTGTAATTAATGTATAGTGAATGCAAAATAATATTAATTTCAGTTCAGCTAGTAAAACGTAGAATTGTTTTGTGTTTTTGTGTATAGATTTGTAATCACTGTTTTATGTCGATACATGGACAGTATATTTAATGTTATAGTCTAATATCAATGTTATATTGTTTTCATTGAGTAATTTGTATTAGCATATTTGCCATCAATGTAGTAATTTATTCAGTGTTTAATTTCAAAACATGTAGGTGCACATAGACCATACTTTTAAGTAATAATATAATAAAAGCAGTTTCAGTGCAAAGGAGCTGTGTCACCTGAGAGGGCATGAAACATTAAACTTCGAAACAGGATTAATAAAGGGTAAAATATGTTATTGGATGTGGTTGTCTTTCAGTAGCATCATCTCTAATTTCAAAACTTGTTTCTTGAGTGAGCACCAACCAGCAGCCAAGAGTTCCTGTCTGAACCCGATCTTCCTCTTCTTCTTTACAAAAAGCTACATTTTTTAATCACCGTACAACCACTTTACATTAGGTTGGCTGTGTGGAAGGCTTTAAACCAGAAATACCATATAAAGCATGTACATACATTTTTTTCTTTTTGTCTTCTCAAAATGTTTCAGAGATGTGTGGCATATAACAAGAAAACCCTTCTGAATATTTAAATCTGATTATTAGTGTATAATAAATCTGATTATTAGTGTGTGTTATTCCAGTATCTTATAGGGGAATCATTTTATACTGAAATAAATGAACTGGCAAACTATAATCTGAGTAGATGGATTAACGTGATATGTCAAAAAACCTGGGAGGGAGCTTTAATTTACTAATGTACAATTAAATGTATCCTTAAATTAAATCCTAAAGAATATTAAAAAATCTAAGACAGGAGATGAAAGGAAAGCATAAGCCTAGAAACTTTAAAAGCAGAATAGTAATTATTTGTAAAACAAAATAAATGTCACTGATTTATTACAAATTCAGTGTTTTTTTATAAGAGTATTATTAGGAGAATGGTAATATTTTCTTTAGAAGGAAGTATTAGGTTTATTCCTTGCTGAAAACTAAAGAAAGAAAACACAACGTTTCGGCTGTGGAACCTTCTTCACGTGTGAGAACCAAAAGGTCCCAGATGTGCAATGCTAACTATTATGCCTCATTGTTGCCCATAAGTAACTACATAAATATGCATCATACATATGTATGTTACTTGCATATTCTTTATTTTTACCAGGCTTGAAATTCACAGCATAAATCACCTTATGACCTGTGCCCATTCAACTCTGTTGCTAATGGAGTGGTTTAGTGTTTATGCAACGCAGTTGTTCAGCTGTATCAAGGTCAGTCATGAATAATCAGTGAATCAAAATGACACCTTTGACATTTATCTATTTCCAAAATCAGTGGACTCTATTCTTCTAAAAATATGCATACATAAGCAGACTAATAAGTTCTTTTGATTCTCAGAAAATATTTATTGAAACTATCGGGTCTTTCATGAGGAATGACTGGAGTTTCAACTCTAACAGAGAAATGCTAACTGCTTGCATCATGTCTCTCAGTAGTGCTGTTGTTTTGCAGGGTGTGGAGTGTAAGGTACAACCACTCTCACGATCAGCTGGTATTGACAGGCAGCAGTGACAGCAGGGTCATTCTTTCCAACATGGTGTCCATTTCTTCAGAACCCTTCGGTCATCTAGTGGATGAAGACGACCTGAGTGACCCAGAGGACAACCACCAGGAGGAGAAGTATGTCTCTTTAACTATTGAATTCAGGTTTTTCAGTTTTCTCATTTCCTGTCAGGGTGAATAAACACTGACCAGCAGCATACAGCACACCTACTCCCTGGGTTATACAAGTCTTTGCGTAATCAAGTCTTCCATAACTTGACAGTGAGCCTTTTAAGCTGTTGATGTTGCAGTGATCGTCCTTTATTTTTATTCCTACCAGTGTCAGAGAGTAAGGAAGGACAATAATTAACAGTTAATTAATTAACAGTTAAAGGACGATAAACCCATGTGGGGTTTATTGTCCTTTAACTGTTAAGAGGTGTGTGTGCTAATCACAGAGGATGTAGCAGGAGTACATAAGGTGAAGAGAGAGACAAAGGACACTCCTCCCATTTTTATAGAAGTGGAGAAATTAAATAATGAAAAAATGTTTTAAAACCCTACAATTAGAATGAATAAATGCCAAATGTAGCACAAGCTTAAAAAATACAATGTGTTAAATAAATTAGAAATATATGTCAATTAATTTATAAATATTGTACATTTCATTACCCTTCACTTTGGAGTTCACTAATTAAACACAAAAATAAATAAACACTCCACAATAAATAAAAAAATATAAAATGTTTTGGGTGCTTTTGGGTGATATGATTGTAATATGGGTTGCTCACAATTTTCCATGAAAAATGTAATGGTTGCCACACTTGCATGACAGAAAAGTGATTCTGAAGTGCGAAATAGAGTCCTGATGAAGTCAGCATTACGAGTTGTGCGTAACCCAGGTAAAGGGTAAATCTCCCCTATAGCATTAAACCTCTAGTATTGTAATGTACACTTTTGTTCTTAGGTAACAAATCGGTTTGTAAAAAAATAACTTTAACCTGCATGGTTTGAGACATGACTGCCTTGTTTTAAGGACAAGAAAGCTCACTCTCACACACACTGGGAGGTTTTTGTGCTTGCAGTGGAGCTGGGGATGTTGGAGGGACATTAGCAAGATGAACACTGGGAAATGGTGAACTACAAAGCTGTATTTATACCCTGGAGTCAGTGATTTGTGGAAACTGTGGCTTATTGTCCTTTCTTCAACATCAAGAAAGTGAATGTTGCGTTCACAGTAAGATACCAAATAGTAAACACATTCTGACTCAAGGATGTGATTAAGCTTCAGCGCTGTATTGCCAAGCATTATTACTTGGTTCAGATGCAAACAAAATGGCTTTACAGAATCCAAAATTAAGGCTAAGTCTCTAAAAGACAGTACCCTGTCTACAAACTGAATTATATAGAATTATCCAGTTTCCCCAGCATAAAGTACAACATAAACAGACATTATACAGTATGACTTTCAACAAGCAACCTTTCTTATATATCAAATGAACAAACGAGTGGGCCAGAGACACATCTGATATATACTTGTAAACAAATCCCCATGTGCAAATCCCTATATTCCATATGGAATAGTTAATTTTATAATAACAAATATACAGTTAACTAGTTACAAGAAAAGTATTTGTTGTTGTCTCTTTGGCAATTTATGGTGGTGGCTTCATTGACATTGCAGCCCCTTGTCCAGCTCACCGAGGCCAGTTAATGCCAGAATTTTACATCCCCTCTGCAGGAAAAAAGTCACCTTTTGTTGCCTTAAAGACTTTTTTGTAAAGATTTTTTTAGATCTATTTACAGTTCCTACCCCACAACTTCCAAGTGCAAACAGTGTCCTAGAAGTACTTTGAATATTAAAAATAAAAACTGGAATAGCTTGGTTTGGTAAGTGTCCATCCCTCTTACAATAGCAGCCCTAAATTAACTGAGGTGTAACTAATCACTTTCAAAATCACACACAAAGTTAATTGGCCTCCACCTGTTTTTAATTGTAGTGATTCACATGATTCTTAGGATAAATTCAACAGCTGTTATAGGTTTCCTCTTCTGGGTAGTGCATTTCAATGCAAAGCATCAACGATGGGCACCAAGGGACTTTCAGAACAACTCTGGGAAAGTTGTGGAAAGGTACAGATCAGGAGATGGATATAAAAATTAAAAGGCCTTAAATATACCTTGGAGCATGGACAGGACAATTAGGAATTGGAAGGTATACGGTACCTCCAAGACCCTGCCTGAATCAGGCTGTCCCTTCAAACTATATAACGAGGTAGAAAGTTGGGTGGTCAGGGAGGTTACCGAGAGGCCAATGATAACTTTGAAAGATCTGTAGGCTTTTATGGCCAAGACTGGTTCAGGTGTCCATGTGACAACAATATTACTTGACACATCTGGTAACATGGCAGGAAGGAAGCTATTACTGAATAAAGAAGTAAGGCTTAGTAAAGCATCTCAAATGATTGCACAAATAATTTGGTGCAGCCAGTGTGTTGCAGACATCATGCAGTTGTTGCCTCAGAGAGATACTGACTTTTATATTGTAAAAGAAAAAATAACCCAGTACTTTTAAAAATGGCAGTATATGCATTATATAATGCAGAATAATGCTTTCCCTGAAGTCTTTCCACAAATCACTGTCTCTGACATGTCCATAGTTTTTGTGCTATATCATTCTTTTTTTCCCTTGTTAATCGCTTGTGTTGGTTATTTACTTAGATGAATTAATAATGCATCACATTTCATTCCTCTCACTATAATATATAGAATCGTTGCATTCTGAGACCAGGTTTTACATCCTGATGTGAACTTAGGGATCATGTTTTCGTCAAAAAATTTCTTGTGAGGTACAAAGGTAATTTTCCTTACAGGAGTGAATTAACTTTGAAAGTATTCCACCTTTTCACCTTATGACCCTTTGACAGTTCTTTTTATCAAATCTGGTTTTCATTTATCTCTCTTTATTTGTCTAATTTGTAGTATACATAACCATACACTTTCACTGGGCTACTATTTTCACCTCATAGCCCAACTTAACTCAACTTAGTCATTAAATAATTTAATGCTAATGTAGTAGCCAGTCACTCAAGTGTATCATGGTGAGTCATGAATGATCAGTTAATCAAAAGATACCAAAATAATTGAATTAATATCCAAAATATTTATGTTGTTTTCTCTAAAAATATTTGTAAATGCAATGATACACTGTGTGTTGTGTGTTGAGGGCTGGGGAGGTCAAGTCTTTTACATATCTACATGAAAAATACCTGTTATCTTTAAACTAAGGATATTCTTTGGAGTGTTTAGCAAAACGTTTTTGAGACTGCACTGTAACAAAATGACACCCCCCCAAAGCAGTATACATAAATAAGACTTCAGACTTATTATAAAATAAAAACACAACTTAATATATGGTAAAGAAGAAGAAATCCATGAATGGACCCTTGTTTTTCAGATCTGACCACAGAACACTTTTGCAATTTGAGCAACAAAGAAAAAATTTGTATTTAAGTAAGGGATTGTGGCCTTACAGATGTGTACATTTTTTCTTTTTATGGTATCTACCAAGCTAAAGAAATCTCATGCACGCTTTGTGGTGCAATATTTGGAAGAGGGAAAAAATTGTTCCCATTTCCTTAGCATCTGTTTAGGGAGTGATTTAGTACTGCAAAGGGTCTTTATTTTGTAAAGTTTCCCTCTTTTCTCTATGGTATTTGTGCATCATTTGCAGAATTATGTTTTGCTTCCTTGTTTTCCTGGTTCAGGGTTCTCATAGTTTTTGTGAATTACTGTTAATCATATAAGTAAATGTTGTGTGCTGTTAATTTATTACAGGTAAATATGTCTTAATCTTTTAAATTTGGTGCCTTGCTTATGACTCTTCTTCATCACTGTGCCTTGAATAAAGGAAATATGTGCCTAGAAGTGTTACTGCTCTGTATTTCTAGACAAATAGAGCATAGATAATTTATTTCTTACATTTTCTCATTTTCAAGGCAAGCTTGAATCAGGACCTGGTTTTATATTTATAATTATATTCAATTCTTTACACCTCTTGTAAGTTTACACCAGCATGTAACTATAATTTGATAATAGTTTATCTAAACCCCATTTACCTGAATATGAATCTTCCAAAATAATTTCCCATCTTCAACAAACTACATTCATGCACATGCATTAGTATGTGCATATATTAGTATGTGCATAGAGTACTACAGTATACAGTACATGTTTCTGCCAATCTATAAGATATTGTAGGAGTTACATTTCATGTTACTTGAATTGCTTCTAAAACCTTTTGTCATTCCAGATGTTTAGCATAGAAACTATTATTTTTCACTTCTTAATAGGCAAACGTTTTACAATAGTAATGGATTTTTAAATGTTGTAAAAATTGTGTTTTTTTTTTCATTGCAGGAGTAAAGAACCACTCCAGGACAGCATAATAGCTACCTATGAAGAGCATGAAGACAGTGTCTATGCAGTTGAGTGGTCATCTGCAGACCCCTGGCTGTTTGCTTCATTGAGCTATGATGGGAGGCTTGTAATAAACAGAGTGCCGAGAGCTCTGAAATATCGCATTTTGTTGTAAAACCCTGAAGAAAGAATTATAATAAATTTCCTCCAAGTCTTCTGATGTACAATATGTAAGATATTGCTGATCTTAAAATCTTAGGGAACATGGGAATAATATATTGCATATCAGTGGAAATTCTTATATGCGCATACAGTACATATAACATTAGTTACGTTTTTCAGTGTGTTAACCTGTTTCTTTTGGTGTTACCATCATTATATTGGGTGAACTGTTGCTGAGACTGTCTAATTTTGTGATCAAGTCATTGAAGAACGGCTTCTGCATGCCTCATGTGAGCAGCCAAGTATTCTGTCATAAAATAGTAACAGAAGAAAAGAGATATTTTGATGTTCTAATTATGCCTTTATATTTTTACCTGTGTATTATGGGGAAACTAATTTTTTATGAGTGTACTACTTGGAAGTTTAAATGTTTAAAACATAGGGTAACATCTACTTTAAAAATTACAATCATTTTAAAGGTTCTAATACAGTTGAACAACTCCTTATTTCTGTTTATTGTTTTTAACTTTACTGAAATGCGAAAGTATATGCAAACAACAGAATTTCCTGATCAGGACAGATATCACATTCAAATTTGGCCTATACAAACAAATAATGTAAACAGTGACAAATCATGGTGAATTTTGATCCAGAAAACCCAACCTATTTTCATGAGAACCCTGGTTAATAATTGGAATTTAGAGGACATTGAAGGACATGAATCATTTCCCAAAACAATATATTCAAGGTTTTAAAGTTGAAAAGATATGTCAGATAGTCTTAAAAAATCGTTTTGCTTCTATGTTTACTGCAGATAGGTTTAAATGCCTTAAATGTAAAAACGGAAGGATGAATTAATAAAACAAGCCAGGCTACTTTTTTCATCCAAGCATTATAACACACTGAATATTTTATTGTGCATGAATTTGACAGTTATAACACTCATTAGTGCTGCAGACACATATGATGGTTAGTTTTAATTGCAGTTTGACTTGCAGTATTTCTTGAGTTCTTACTGACATAGGATGTCAGAGGTCTTCATTAGTGATGTTAAAGCTATTGAGACAGGTTTTAGGAATATGTAACATTTCCTTACCTACATATATATTGTAGATTTTTTCAGGAAATATGGATGAAATTTTTAAATAATTCTTTTGCTGCGGAACAGCACATGTGGTACCATGCTTCCAGCATTTCCCGTCTTCTCCTGAAAGAAATTGACAGAGATCTTGCTGTTTGGACAGGAGGTGTGACAGATTTCAAGTGATTTAGTGCTTGGTGTGTTTGGGACTGTGTTAGTGTCTTGTGCATTTTAGTGCTTGTGAGTTTGACTGGATGCATGTTTAAACATGGTGTGAAAGGGTTTGCCCAGGGGCCCGGTGGAGAGTGAGTGTCAGAAAGATGTGAGACTAGCTGACAGCTGAGGAGACTGGCACGGTGTGAAGTCCTTAGAGGAGAATGGTGCCTTGGAGGCTGAGAAGCACAACCGAAAATGCCACATATTTAAGGTAAGAATCCTCATGCTCAGGCTTATACGAAGGTGATTAATTCAACTTGAGAAAGAAAGCTATTGTTCCCTCTCTTAAGTTGCAGAGAATAATAAAATAAAATCAGTTCCTCATGATGTATAATATTGATCAGTGAGAATCCCTAAGTGATTTTAAGCAATCTATAACTGTACTGGCGAAGTGGGTCAGGTTTACTCTAGAGGTTCACAACTCTTTCCCTAGCTCATTAACAAACACGATCCATACCCTAGGAGGTGTAGTAATTGTCAAATGTTGTGTCTCTCTCAAGTCTATATTTTTTTTCTAAAGAATAGGTTCTTCAAAACAGCGATTTTATATTTAGTTTTTTGTATTGAATAAAGAGAGACACATTTTTATGGATTTTGTTCTTTTGATTATCCCTTTTCCAACCAATCTTTTTTTAATAAATCTTTTTTATTATTAGTCATTCCCTTCAAATCACCATCTTTTATACAATATGTTTTCACATTCTCTGAGGACATTTGGCCATGTTTTAGTTGCAGTGACATGGGTTCTGCCCACTATCATTCAACACTAAAAGCACAATAATTGGAAAACTGTAGTGTAACTTGATAGTGTACCAAAAACAAATGAATGGATGACATCAGAAAGCATGCAATGTGCATGATGGTTAGACCGCAATTTTGTCATACATCTAACTATTTTCCTTAGCTACTTCATCTTAGGGGTTCGTAGCTTGGGTCTTGGAGGCCTACACACCTGTTGGTTTTCATTCCAGTAAAGCCTAATGACCTAAATGAAGCATTAATTGCCTGGATTTAAATTGTCTTTTTACTCAAGGTTTTGGGCTTTTTTTAAATTCCTAAAAATGGCAACACGTTCAAGAGCTGAAAACAGTTCCCAAAGTAGTCAGTTAAGCCATATTAAGTCAGTTAAGGTTTCAGTTGTGTAACTGAGTGCTTTGCTAGAGCAAAAACCAGCAGGTCACAGCTTGTCACAGCCTGCAAGACCAGATCGGAAAATCATAGCTATAAAGGGTTATGGTAAGCATAACTTAGCAGAAAAGGGCAGGAGGGTACACTGTATATACCACTTAACATTAAGGCACATACAAATATACACATGCACACAGGCACAATTTAGAGACGTCTGTTAACCTAACCATGTTTTAGTTTCAGTGACATGGGTTCTGCTTTTTTTACATTACCTGATTTGTGAAGATCAACAACCATTTTTCTCCTTTGATTTGTTATATCTTTGCCTTTCCCTGTAATGATGGATGACCAAAATGACCAAAGGTTTTCTCATACGTGTTACTGTAGGTCTTTTTTCTATCCATGGTGAAACAGAAAGTCTAAATAATGTTCCTTAGGATTGAGTTGTGTTCAAATAAGCAGAATTTAATTGCAGATTTTATTTTGCTTGCTGTTCTTTAAAAAAAAAACAGAGGAGATCCAATTGGCACCTATGTTTTTAAGAAATAAAATATAACTCATTTTTAAATATTTGTATTGAAATAATTCTATTAGAACAAAAGCCTGTAGTTATCCCATTTTGGGGGCATAAAATATATCTCATTATCTGTGGTGTTTACAAGGCTTTTTTTGTTCATCTTTATCAATGGTGCCAGTAATTCTGGAGCCCACTGTAACCCATGCATGAATTTAATACTTTGAGGCAAATTACCCATTTTAAAATCTACCTAGTAATCACAACTGCTTATAATCTCAGTTTCAGAGACATACTGTATCCTTGTGTAGTCTAGTACTGTTAAAATAATTTAAAAACACATATGCAGCTGTAGTAGAACCCACATATAAATGCTGTCTTTGATAGTAAACAATAGTAATTGCCACATGTGGTTGTCAGGAAGCACCTTCACATCTCCCCACCCGTATTTTATTATTAATCAGATCATTTGCATTTTGAGGGGGCGTCTGTCTCTTTGGGAGAGACCGGCTTGTCAATTGTAAATGCTGACAGGTGTGAAACAGAGCTTCCCTTCATTTTTGCATATCAAAATGATTGATATCTTTTCTGTATTTTTGCTCTGCCAAATATTGGTTTTGTTGTTTAATAAATACAAACAGTATTCTTCTTACTTCTAGAATTCAAATAATAAAGACATTTCAAGTCAGAATTGTTAAAATATTAAGTACTTTTAAATGATGTCATGCATGCAAATAACACGTACCCAGGATAAAAAAAAACAGGAGCTAATTATATATTTATATAGTGGTCCTCAAATGTTTCTCTTTAAAATTAGCTATTAATAAGCATACTGTACATTGATCACAGTTTCCAGTATTAGTACAGTTGTTTGTACAACTGCCGAAAATATGCTAGGCTAAACTGTCAAAGGTTATAGGAGTAGAAACAGGAGGAACTTTAGGTTGTTCTGAGATGGTTCATGGGCTAAGATATTCACTTGCTCCAATGCTCAGCCAAGAGATTTGACAAGGATGTGATTTGCATGTAAAGCAGAACGATTGCTAAGTCACATGAATTTTTAGATGTCAAATTATACCGCAGGATTTCAGAGGGATGCAGATTCATGAACCCATGAGCTTTCAGTGGCTTTCAATATGTCCTTTCATAAATTAATTGATAATTTAATTATAAGAATTAGAATCTATGTACAGTAGTTTGTTGCAAGATTATCTATGGCTCTTTAAATAAATTTGCGTAATAACATCTTAGCAGACTTCCATTTTCTTAAATTATTCCCAGTTAATGCTGGTATCTATTTTTAAGTGTTATTTCATAATTCTCTCAATTTGTTTGGAACTTGCATTTAAAATAAACTTAAAAAGTCACTCTTTAATGAAACAAATAACTCAAAACATATCTACACAGCACAGGTGAATCATTCTGAATTAGTGAATTGAATAGAATATTGTCAGGTATTGAGTTTTAGGAGGTTGGGGTTTTAACTTCCTGTAACAATCAGAAATTGTAACAGTAAATCCTGAATATACTTGATGACTTTTAGGAACCAATCAAACATAATAATTTATAGTCTCACAAATAGATTGTAAATACACAATATACAGTTTATTGATACAGCCAAAACGTATATAACAAGCAACAGACGTAATAGAATATATATCTGTAACATGATCTGCTCTGAAGACAAATGTCTGTTCGTTCACTCAGGAATTACAAAGAACAGTTCTGTAACACTGTAATGTGTTCAGTCTAGCTCCTAGGTTATACCAGTCTGGTTTAACTAAAATCACATTTATATTCTCGGACACACGTAAATATGCATGTACTATTGTGAAGTAAGTATCAAACATTAAAATAATAGTTCTTGAGAATTATAATGTGAATAATTATGAAGAATGTAGTTTTATACTCAAAGATCCATTGTCCAAACATCCTTGTTGAGTTGGGATGGGCAGAGAGAGAGAGTTTTGCCTTGCATTCATCTCTGCCTACTCTGCCAAAGTAGCGTTCTGCTGACAATTTGTCCTCTTGAGGTCCACTAGGTAGAAAGAGTCCAACTGTCTAATTTAGTTGGTCAGGCCAAAATAACATTGCTTTCATAAACACAAGATTTCTGGAAGAATATGTTGAGACAGAATTCTGTACTTTACTGACTCGTGCACTCAGATTAGAGTCTTGCAGAAAAGTTTAAGTCTTGACGTGGACTGCTTGCAGTCTCATGGTTGTAAAAGTCAGTTTGCCAGTTCAGAGAGAAATTTCCTGTAAGTGGTTAACCAGCAAAGATGTGTTGGGTTACCATTTATATAGGGCGACATCACAAGTTAGTGATTGGTTAAGATACCATCTGGTTTGGTTCTGGTACCAGCTCTACAGATCCCCAATTAGTGGATCTTCCTTTGTGTGATTAACCATGTCCTGTGACTTTAAGATCAGGTCTAGATGTGTCATTGCTCTCTGCTAGACACCCAGGGACATCTATCATATCAATTTAGATCTTGCATGAAGCCGTCCTGGGGAAGATCTCTATCCAAAAGAAAAATTCACCTCCTTTACTTTCCCCTATGTTAAGACCATACTTAAAGGCCAGTAGATCATTCTGAGATCACAAAGAGGGGGCCTCTTTATTCCCTTGCATTTAGACAGCGGCACCATGCTGCTAGGTCAAGGCACACAAAGATTATTAGAAATCTTTAATTATACTTCTAAGAGAAATAATAGGCCTTGTTACTTCAGAGTCAATATAACTTTTAACCAAACATGTTCCTAAAAATATATTCATCTACAGTACATTAAAAATGTAGGTAAGACTTCAACAGAAAAAACAGAAAGTAAGGCTGCTACAAAAAACATTTGAGTACTTGTTGCTGGTCACCTTGATCTTAAAGCTGCAATAAACCTGGACAAAGAGATCTATTTCATATTTTACACAAAGTTGAAAAAAAGAGACTGAA